AGGATAAGAAAAATAAAGGGCTAGAAAGTAGTCATAATAACCAGAAAATAAGCCGGAGGATCAAATAAGAAGGATAAGAAAAATAAAGGGCTAGAAAGTAATCAGAATAAACCAGAAACTAAGACGGAGTTCAATAAAAATAAGTCGGAATCAAATTCAAATAAACAGGACTCTAACAATAAGCAGGAAGTCAATAAAAGTAGTCCTGTCCAACAGCAGGGTAAAAAGAAAAAGACCAGATCACGCAATAAGAAGAACAAAGAACAAAAACACAGACTACTGTTACATCTGATACATCCCTAAACGATTCAACAAAATCCGTCGACGACCCCATCAAGAACAAACGCCAGAAAAAACGCGAGAAGACAAAGAAAAAACTCCAAGTCTTCAAAGAAAAAGTAGCACAAGCCAAAGAAGGCATCATCAAACCCGACGAACTAAACCTGGAGTCCATCCAAAAAAAAATAGCAGACATCGGAGAACCTAACACCAATTCAGGAAAGAGACGTCTGCGCAAGTTGAAAAAACTGGAAAAATTGGCTTTAGGCAAAACCGATGAAGTCGCTAAAAAATGACAAGCAAACCACTAAAACTGTATCCATCAAATCCGTTAAACGCAAGGAACGACGTGATGGTAAAATCGCGAAGGAAATCGCTGACCAGAAATTACAGAATGAAATTGGGAAGAGGATACAAAGTGGTGAGCAACGGCTTCAGCAGACTAAATCTAAGCCGAAGGCGAAGGAACCTGAAAAAGTCAAGGGTAAAGGTAGTAAAAGACCTATAGAAGACGTTGACGTTGATGATGATGATGAGGATGCTGAATCTGATTACGAAGTCGAACGTATGATAAAGCTGATAAGGTTACCAAAAAACTTAAGGCCGATGTACCTATGGATTCTGAAGACGAGGATGAGGAAAGTGATGAGATGGAAGTCGAGAAGATGATGATGACGATGATGATGATGATGCTGAAGCTGAAGCTGAAGATTCACTAGTTGATAATGAAGCCGAAGAATCTGATGATGACGATGAAGAAGCAACAGAAGTCGATGATGAATCTGAAGAAGTTGATGATGAATCTGACGAGGACGAGGAAGACGAGGCTGACACCCATGACGAAACTCTTGATGATTCCCAAATGACTATTGAAGACTCCGATGACGATGACGACGACGTTAAACCAGTTCCTGCAGACAAAGAAACAATCAAAACAAGTCGATAATAAAACACAAAAGAAATTCCTAAATATTTTAAACAAAACTGAAGATAAAAAGATGGCGCAAATAAAAATAAGAACCCCGAAAGAGCAACCCAGAAAAGGAACTCGATCCGGAGAAATTGAAACAACTAGTTGGAAAGAATGCTCGATATGTTGTTTTTTAGGTAATTTACCGTATACTATCGATAAGGATACTTTGAAAACACATTTTGATAAAGCAGGACAGGTAAGCCAATATATATATCTAGGGTGGTCCTTGATATGGACATTTTCGAATTTTATTGCTGCCAGGAGCTCAAATGCTTCGAAATTGATAAATAAAAATACTCTAAACGTTTTAGCTCTTAATATTAACTTTTAGATAGTCCGCAATTTAATCAAAATTTTAAAATGTTTTTTTAGGTATAACTTAGCGACAAAAGGGCACAACTAGCGTAACCGCCTAAAAAAAGGGTGATTTTGGGAATTTATATTAAAAAAAACTACTTTATCAATCATTTCAAATTTTAGAATATATTTATACATGTTTTAGAATACATAGTAAAATTTTTGAAGAAAAAAATTAAATATTTTTTAAGTTATCGTCGATCTCCAACGGCGCGACAAAAAAAAGGCCCTTCACTGCTGCAGTGATTCCGGCCTTCTACGTGGATGAAATAAAAAAAAAATTTCGTTGAACTAGATATATTGTCTGTAAAATGAACTACGATGAAGAAAAAAAAATCAAAAATTGACAAAATGAAGGCGTTTTTTAAAAAAAAGTCGAATTTTACCCAAAATTTTGGTCGTTTTTGGACTGCCAAAATTCGATTTTTGATCCGATCAAAAAATCGATAGTTCATTTTACGGAGAACTATATATAGAACATGTAAAAAAAATTCGATAGTGATCGGATCAATTGTTTTTGGGTAATAATGGAAAAATTAAAAATTCGATTTTTTGAAAATTTCACACTAGTTGTGCCCCTTAAAAGTGACAATTTGTGTCATCTTTTATTGAAAATTCGACGCTCTGCAAAACAGATTTTTTATAATTTGTTTTGTAGAGCGTCGAATTTTGAATAAAACTCGTTCATTTATATCTAAAAAATATTTTTAAAATTTTGAAATTTTTTCCATGCTTTGATTGAATTGCGCACTATCTAAAAGACAATATTCAAAGCCAAAACTTTCAGAGAATTGTTTTTTATCAATTTTGAAGCCCCTGGTAGCAAGAAAATTCGAAAATGACCATATTAAGGACCACCCTAATATATATTTATCTTTGTAATTATTATTTTGAATACTGATGTTTAATTTTTTTTAGATTAGAGATGTCCGTATAGTTAAAGAAAAGGGTTCTAATAGGCCGAAAGGATTTGCATATGTCGAGCTTACAGATCCAGAAAGTTATCAGGTAATTAAAAATTATACAAGTATATAGACAATTTTTACTATAATTCGAATTAGCTATAAATTTGAAATTAACAATATTATTAACACAATTATACCTTGATTTAGTAAATTTTATCTGTATTTTACTAATTTAAATAATTTATCAATAATCCGGAATGAAAGTTAAGTTATTAGAAGAAAGTTAAAACTGTGGGGGCGTCCAATAATCACGTGATCCATTTTTTTAGGGATTTTTGGACTCCCCTTTGGCGATATTTAAAATTACCCTCCTCCCCGACCAAATATTACGTGTATTTTAGTTACGTAAAATTTTCCGAACGAATTTTTCGAATTTACGAAAAATCGTATTTTTTAACTTCCCGTAGGGTAAGGTTGTAATGGGCCGAAAATCGAAATTGAAATTTTTTACATTTCTCGACGTTTTGAAGGTTTCTGAACGTTTTGGCATACCTCAGAAAGTGTGTGGTTTTTTTTATTTTTCGTCCACGTTTTCGGGCGCACGGATCAACCGATTTGAATGGTTTAAAAAAACATTTGATCCCTATTGATAGGGAGATGTGCTGATTAGTTTTTGGCAAAGGCAGGTCCAGCAGTTACGGAGATAACGAGCAAAGAGTGCAGAAAATAGAAATCGAGTTTTTGAGAGAACGGATCATCCGATTTGTATGATCTAAAAACATTCAATTAGTAATAATGATTGGGAGAAGTGTTTATTAGTTTTTGGCAAAGGCAGGCCCAGCCATTTTGAAGATACGGAGCTAAATGTGTAAAAAATAACACATTAGTTTTAACAAAATAATTGATTTGTGAAATAATGATTGAAATTTTTTGGTATATCGAAAATAATTCAGATTTTATTTTTAATTCTGCCTAAAGTTATAATATACTTCAAACAAATAATTCCAACTTTGCGATTCAGTTTATATAATTCTTATAAATATTAGACAATGTTACAATATCTATAATAATCTATTTGAAAACATTCAGTATTCCTCGAACATTTCGTTACGGTACGGGAAGTTCTAGCAAATGCTTGGCCACGATGCCACACACCCCACTAGTTATGTATAATTTTTAATGTTTATAGCGTTATAATTAAATTATAAATTCAGTGTTCATAAATTAAATTAAATTTAAAATTGGCGCCACAATTCTTTTTACGGAAAGGTGGACTGCACTGGTTGTACGAAAGGTTTTCTGGGAATCCCTATTTATTAGTTTAGTATTTTTATCTCTTCAGCTCGAATGGTCGAATGACGCTCAGTCTCTTTTCTGTATAAACTGTGCACGTTTGGTGACTGAAAATAAAATAATTCATTTGAAATAATAATTTATTAATTATTAATTTTATAAAAAGCATTAAAAATTATAAAAAAACATTGTGGCGATTTTTAAATCGTATTTAAGTAGTCAAGGAAAGAAATCTTGTAAATGTGATCAATTAATCGTGTGCAAGTTTAATACACTATTATAAATTTCCACGCAAATTAATAGTTTGTTAATTAATTATTAATTTCTGAAAAATTTATTTCAAATTTACAAAAATATTAGTGCCTTTTTTCGTATAATGCTGTGCACATTTGGTGATTGAAATTTATAATTATAATATCCAAAAAATTGCTAATTGTTAATGTTAATTGTTAACAAATGTTGATTTCTAAAAATAGTAGTGATTTTTAAATAGTAACAAATTGTTTTGGGTAAAATGAATTGAAAATAAAGGAAAGAAATCTTGTGAATCTGATCCAAATAAATGTCTAATAAACACTTACAAGTTGTCAGAAAAATTAATAATTTGTTGAATAATTAATAATTTAAATGAAATCCATTTAATATTTACAAAAATATCAGGGTCTTTTTCTTTTTTTGGTGACTGAAACTTCTAATTATAATCAAAAAAATTGCTAATTGTTAATTTAGCAATTGTTGATTCTAAAAAATAGTCATTATTAATAGTATCAAATAGTCTTCGGTAAAATAAATAAATAAAAATAAAGAAAAAAATTTTGTGAATGTTATCATTAAATTGTTTAATAAACATTATAAATTGCCAGGAAAATTATTAATTTATTATTTAATAATTTTTGTGAAAAACCCATTTTAACTTTACCAAAAAAATAGTGGTTATTATTAAATAGTAACAAATAGACATGGACAAAAAATTTGTAAATCTTACCGGTAAAATTGTTTAATAAGCAATTATAAATTGCTAGGAAAATAAACTTTATTACTTAATCATTTTTGTGAAAAACCCATTTTAACTTTACCAAAAAATAGTGGTTATTTAAATAGTAATAAATAGACATGGACAGAAATTTTGTAAATCTTACCGGTAAAATTGTTTAATAAACACTTATAAATTGCCAGTGCCAATATTAAAATTAATACTTTATTTAATAATAATTTTTGTAAAAAAATCTATTTTAATTTTACAAAAAAATAGTGGTTATTATTAAATAGTAATAAATAGACATGGACAGAAATTTTGTAAATCTTACTATTAAAATTGTTTCATAAACACTTATAAATTGCCAAGAAAATTAATACTTCATTAATTAATAATTTTTGTGAAAAATCCGTTTTAACTTTACCAAAAAAATAGTGGTTATTATCAAATAGTAATAAATAGACACGGAAAGAATTTTTGTAAATCTTACTATTAAAATTGTTTAATAAGCAATTATAAATTGCCAGGAAAATTATTAATTTATTATTTAATTATTTTTGTGAAAAATCCATTTTAACTTTACCAAAAAAAATAGTGGTTATTATTAAATAGTAATAAATAGACATGGACAAAAATTTTGTAAATCTTACCGGTAAAATTGTTTAATAAACACTTATAAATTGCCAGTGCCAATATTAAAATTAATACTTTATTTAATAATAATTTTTGTAAAAAAAATCTATTTTAATTTTACAAAAAAATAGTGGTTATTATTAAATAGTAATAAATAGACATGGACAGAATTTTGTAAATCTTACTATTAAAATGTTTCATAACACTTATAAATTGCCAAGAAAATTAATACTCATTAATTAATAATTTTTGTGAAAAATCCGTTTTAACTTTACCAAAAAAATAGTGGTTATTATCAAATAGTAATAAATAGACACGGAAAGAATTTTTGTAAATCTTACTATTAAAATTGTTTAATAAGCAATTATAAATTTCCAGGAAAATTATTAATTTATTAATTAATAATTTTTGTGAAAAATCCGTTTTAACTTTACCAAAAAAATAGTGGGTATTATTAAATAGTAATAAATAGACATGGACAGAAATTTTGTAAATCTTGTCGTTAAAATTGTTTAATAAGCAAGTATAAACTGCCAGGAAAATTATTAATTTAATAATTAATAATTTTTGTGAAAACTCCGTTTTAACTTTACCAAAAAAATAGTGGTTATTATTAAATAGTAATGAATACACATGGACAGAGATTTTATAAATCTTATCGTTAAAATTGTTTAATAAACAATTATAAATTGCCAAGAAAATTAATACTTTATTAAATAATAATTTTTGTGAAAAATCCATTTTAACTTTACCAAAAAAAAATAGTGGTTATTATTAAACAGTAATAATAGACATGGACAGAAATTTTGTAAATCTTACCGTTAAAATTGTTTAATAAGCAATTATAAATTGCCAGGAAAATTAATACTTTATTACTTAATAATTTTTGTGAAAAATTCATTTTAAGTTTACCAAAAAAATAGTGGTTATTATTAAATAGTAATAAGTAGACATGGAAAGAATTTTTGTAAATCTTACCATTAAAATGGTTTAATAAGGAATTATATATTGCCAGGAAAATTAATACTTTAGTATTTAATAATTTTTGTGAAAAATCCGTTTTAACTTTACTAAATATATAGTGGTGATTATTAAATAGTAGACATGGGTAAACATAAACACAGAAAATCACATAAGTCTGGTAGAAAAAAATCACATAAATCTAAAGACAAGAAATCTCGTAGATCTGAAGCAAAGAAATCTCATAAAACTAATATGAATATGAATCTGATGATATAAGTAGCTCCTCAGAGAGTTCTGTATCAAATAAAGTTACCAGTAATAGTATTCGAGATCGAAGGAAAAATGTGTTGCATGAATCTAATGTTAAGAAACTTCAACCTAAGCTCTTGAAAAATGCTCTTGAACAAAATATTGAACAGGTCTCTCCAACAAGATCTTGGGATGATATTACGATGCCTGAAGAACCTCCAATTTTTGAATCGTCATCAAGTGATGAAAATTGGACATCAACAGCCAAAAATCGCAAACCAAAACTGGACCACCAAGATAAGAAATCTCGTAGATCTGAAGCAAAGAAATCTCATAAAAGTAAATATGAATCTGATAATAGAAGTCGCTCCTCAGAAAGTTCTGTATCAAATAAAGTTACCAGTAATAGTACTCGAGATCGAAGGAAAAATGTGTTGCATGAATCTAATGTTAAGAAATTTCAACTGAAAAATGCTGAACAAAATATTGAACAGGTCTCTTCAACAAGATCTTGGGATGATATTACGATGTCCGAAGAACAACGTGTTGAAATAAGTTTCCACCCGGACAGGACTTTAGAATCAGAATCTGTCCATAACCCTGATTTCAATTATTCTGAAATCTCCAAAGACCTTTTCGAAGTCCCCGAAGACTACTCTTTATGCCATTGTGTAGCCGAAGACTTCATCATGGGTGCAGGCATTGCTTTACAATTCCGTTTTAGATTTGGAAGAGTTGCAGATTTATTACTACAAAGACCCCGAACAGGTGGCTTTGCATACCTTAAAGATAACCAAAGGTTTATTTACTATTTAGTAACGAAACAAAGAAGTTCTGGGAAGCCTTGCATAGAAGCTTTAGAATCATCGTTGGAGAACATGAGGAAGCATATGCTGAAAAATAATGTAAGGAAACTTGCTATGCCAAAAATTGGTTGCGGCTTGGACAGACTAAGATGGGATGATGTTTCTGGATTGATACAGAGAATATTTAGAAATGATAGGATTGAGATTCTTGTGTGTTTTGTAGATGGACCAAATGATACTGGTTATGCATCATCTAGGAGACTAGCAAATGGTAATTAAATTACGTGATTATCTTTTAGCTCGAATTATTGATCTGGGAGATAATTAACTAAGTGTAGTTATAGTAATTGGCCGAAAATCCAAAATGAAAATTTTTGCATTTCTCGACGTTTTGAAGGTTTCTGAACATTTTTAAGGGGCATACCTCAGACACTAAATGAATGTGTACGTACGTGTGTGTGTGTGTTTTGTATGTCCGCAGTCGATTTCAATGGTTTAAAAAACATTCCATTCCTATTGATAGGGAGATGTGCTGATTAGTTTTTAGCAAAGGCAGGTCCGGCCGTTACGGAGATACAGAGCAAAGAGTGCCGAAAAAAGAAATCGAGATTTTGAGAGAACTGAGTATCGGATTTGAATTATCCAAAAAACATTCAGTTCGTAATGATGGGGAAAAGTAGTTATTACTATTTAAATTGGTTATTATTATTTAAAGGTAGGGCCAGCGGTTTCGGAGATACCGAGCAAAATGTGCAAAAAATGGCAGTTTTTGAGAAAACTAAGTATCCGATTTGAATAATTCAAAGAACTTTCTGCTTGTTTCAACAAAATAATTGCTTTCGGAAAAAAAAAAATTGTTTCTAATTTTTTTTTTCAAAAAATATTTTTGTAATTTTGGATTGAAAATTTAAAAAATTACCCAGGTTAAGCACAGTCTAAGCGCCACTCTGGTACAAATGTTTACCCGAATGCGTTTAGACTGTTTATGTACTGGAGCACTTTTCCAATTTTGTGAAAAACTATTGAAAAATGTGAAAATGCCGCCAAGCTAAGCACAGTATAAGCGAAAATGTCGCACAGAATTATTTGCAAATGCGTTTAGACTGTGACTATGCGGGAGCACTTTTTCAATTTTTTGTGTAAATTAGGCAACTATTTTTTTTTTAAATTGAATTTGAAATAAAATGACGATTGTTAATATTCTGGAGATAAATTGATTTATTTATAATTTACATTTGATTTGCTCAGATATAAAAATAAGATAGCAAAAATAATGAAAGTATTTGTAATATATTTGAAAACGTTTAAAATCTCTCGAATTTCATTACGGTACGGGAAGTTCCAGCAATTTGCCTTAAGGCACTATGCCATACACCACTAGTTATTTACCATTTTGTTAGATTTCTGCACAAGTGTGTAAAAAATAAGATAAATGTATTTGTGATATAGATCGATTCTATTGAAGTTAAAGATTATGTACTTTTTAACAGATAAAATAGGAAATCGTTTAAATTTTATTTTAAAATTGATGAAATGCATTCTGTAATATCAAATATATTAATTACATTACAATTACGTTTATTAAAATACATTATAAGGTGCAAATGTTAACATTTTATATTAATACTAATTATTAATTTTAAATTAGCCGGTAGTTTTTGATTAATTCAATTGATTTAGTTTTCACTCAGTAGTAATTTTGTTAATTAGTAATATGTGATTCTTGGGCATTTTTTTACATTATTGCAAACGACTGAAAATTTTCATTCTGGACATTTTAATTTGTTTACATCAGTAAATACTAGATAAAATTTACTAAATTCTAGTAGAAATCGTAATATACATTTGCATATTGAAATTTTAAAAAATTCGTAGATGAAATGCTGACTTTAGTATATTTAGTATATTATTTATTATTTAGTATTTTGTTCAAATAACTTTTAATTTTCTTTTCGGGCATTATAATTTGCTTACATCAATAAAAGCTAGATAAAATTTACTGGAATCTAGTGAAAATTGCAATATATACTTACATATGGAAATTTTGAAAAATTTGTAGTTGAAATTTGGACTTTAGTATTTTTATAATTTGCATTATGTATATGGAGTTTGGGAATTGGGAATGGAGTGGCATTTTTTACTGTTCTTCAAATTACTTTTAATTTTCATTACGAACATTATAATTTGCTTACATCAGTAAAAACTAAATAAAATTTACTAAAATGTTGTAAAAATTGTTATATACATTTGCATATAAAATTTTTGAATAATTCATAGTTGAAATGCGGACTTTAGTATTTTCATAATTTGCATTATATGGATTTAGGACATTTTTTTACATTTCTTCAAATAACTTCTGATTTTCTTCTCGGACATTATAGTTTGTTTACATTAGTTAAAACTAGATAAAATTTACTAAACTCTAGTAAAAACTGTTGTAAACTACATATTAAAATTAAATATAAAATTTGTTGGAACTTCTATTTTCTGGTAATATATTTAGCAATATGTGAATTTTAGACGTTTTTTTTACATCTTTTTGAATTTAGTGGAAACTTTGCTTCGGATAAAGTGTTGTATATACATCAGTAAAATCTGGATAAAATTTACAAATATTTAGTAAAAATTGTTATATACATTTGCATATTAAAATTTTGAAACATTCGTAGTTCAAATGCTGAAATTAGTATTTTGATCATTTGCATTATATGGATTTAGGACATTTTTGCACATTTCTTCAAATAACTTTTGATTTTCTTCTCGGACATTATAATTTGTTTACATAGATAAAATAAATACTAGATAAAATTTACTAAATTCTAGTAAAAACTGTTGTATACAGTTACATAATGAATTTTTAAATAAAACTTGTTGGAACTTCTATTTTCTGGTAATATATTTAGCAATATGTGAATTTTGGGCATTTTTTCATGCTTTTCTTCAATTTCTTGGAAATTCTGTTTTGGGTGCTTTGTTTTATATACATAAGTAAAAACTAGATAGAATTTACTAAATTCTAGTAGAAATCGTAATATACATTTGCATATTGAAATTTTTAATATTTTGTAGTTCAAATGCTGAAATTAGTATTTTGATCATTTGCAATATTTGGAAATTAGGACATCTTTTTACATTTCTTCAAATAACTTCTGATTTTCTTCTCGGACATTAGTTTGTTTACATTAGTTAAAACTAGATAAAATTTACTAAACTCTAGTAAAAACTGTTGTAAACTACATATTGAAATTAAATATAAAATTTGTTGGAACTTCTATTTTCTGGTAATATATTTATTAGCAATATGTGAATTTGGGAATTTTTTCAGGTTTTTCTTCATTTCTTGGAAATTTTGTTTTGAGTACTTTGTTTTATATACATGAGTAAAAACTAGATAAAATTTACTAAATTCTAGTAGAAATCGTAATATACATTTGCATATAAAAATTTTGAATAATTCGTAGTTGAATGCGGACTTTAGTATTTCATAATTTGCATTATATGAATTTTAGGACAGTTTTTTTTACATTTTTTCAAATAATAAAAACTATATAAAATTTACTAAAATCCAGTAAAAAACTGTTATACACACTTTGATATCAAAATTTGAATAATTCGTAATTGAAATGCGGACTTTAGTATTTCTATAAATTTGCATTATGTATATGGAGTTTGGGAATTGGGAATGGGGTAGCATTTCTTTTTTTAATTTTTTTTTCAAATGACTTTAAATTTTTCTTCTCGGACATTATATGTTTACATCAATAAGAACTAGATAAAATTTACTAAAATCTAGTAAAAATTGCAATATATACTTACATATTGAAATTTTGAAAAATTTGTAGTTGAAATGCGGACTTTAGTTTTTTGATAATTCGCATTATGTATATGGAGTTCGGGAATTGGGAATAGAGTACCATTTTTTTTCACTTTTCTTCAAATAACTTTTGATTTTCTTCTCGGACATTATAATTTGTTTACATCAGTAAAAACTAGAAAAAAAATTACTAAAATTTAGTAAAAACTGTTTAGTAAAAATTTTGTATAAAATTAGTTATTGTAGCATTAATGAGGCACCTTTACGTTTCAACTGTATTACATAACTTTCTTGTTAATTTTATGTTGCATATCTTATAAATTAACAAAAACTTATAAATTAAAATTTATAAATTTATAAATTAAATCTCTTTGCTTTACATTTCAACTAAATATCTATGAGTTAAATTTAGAAGAGTTTATGTTCGAGGGGATGATCTCAAAGAAAAAATATAAAATAGTCCTCTAAATGATCAAAAACTGTTTAATCTTCTATATATATATAAAAATAAGTCGGGTTTTCCTTACTGACGAAGTAACTCCAGAACGCACGAACCGATTTCGACAATTTTGCATTCGTTGGAAATGTCTCGGGCTCCACAAGGTTTATAGCTAAGAAAATTAGTGGTGCATGGCATCGTGCCCTAATGCAAATTGCTGGAACTTCACGCACCGTAATTAAAAATTCGAGTTATGACATTAGTGAGAATTAACAGAATTATGCTTGGTTAAGTCAACGAGCAATTCTTGCCGCAAACAATAATGATGTACACGCACTGAATTTTATCATTCAATCAAAAATTGCTGGCGTTTTGGTGACATACCAATGATTCCGACTGGTCTTCCGTTTGACTTCAAACGATTGCAATTTCCAGTTTGCCTTGCAATCGCAATAACAAGTCGCAAGGCCAATCGCTTAGTGTTTGCGGGATAAATTTCAAATAGATTATTTAGAAAATCATTGTTTTTCACATGGGCAGTTATACGTTGCCTGTTCACGAGTTGGAAAACCGTCCGCTTTGTTTGTGTTAACGTCAGACCAAAAAACAAAAAATGTGGTTTACCAAAGAGCACTTCAATGAAATAAATTCATTACTGTTGTATAATAAAATCAAATTTTTCCTTTTCAAATATAAAACAAACAAAAATTTTTCATCTTTCTCAAGAAACCATCTGGTGGCGAAACGGAGTTCGTCGGGTTTTACTAGTTTAAGTATAAATATTCATATAAGTATATAAATATTTTTTTTAATTAATATAATTTTCTTTTTTTTTGAGAGAGCTTTATCCCTCCATCATTCGATGGTAGGTGGTCGTCGAATCAACGTCCTCTACACCCAACCTGGTCACAAAAAGAGTGCAGAGGCCAAAAAAATTGTCAAACAAAAAAATTTCAAACTGGGCGCTATGAGGAAACAAGGAATGCTTGCAGGAAGCGTAAAACAAACACAGAGCAGGAACGCTCGAAGGAACAAAGCCAAAGGAAAAGATGGTGCTAAGAAGCACCGGGATGAATAAATTTAGTATTATTAATAAAATGAAATTTTTATGCTATTGTTATATTATTATTGTCGACTGTGGGTTGTATTGACTGAAGTGATGTCTAAGTCTGCGAGAGAGGAGGAAGTTGTATGTTCAGATTTATATCGATGTATGGAAATTTGATTTTTATGCATTTGTTTTGACATTGTAATCATATAAGTGTAGAAATAATGCAGGAGTAACATATCAAGAGTTTTCTATTTGTTTGCAAATTACATAGATGTTAAGGTAATGATGTTGAAGTTTTTTCTAAATTAATTATCTTTTAACTTCTCGTAGGGCAAGTTATAGGAATTGCAAGATAATCAAAAATGAAAATTTTTATATATCTTTACGTTTCAGAGGTTTCTGAATATTTTGGCATACCTTAGAAAAAATGGATGTATGTGTGTGTGTGTGTGTGTGTGTGTGTGTGTGTGTGTGTGCGTGTGTGTATGTATGTATGTGCGGATACAAATTTTCGTTGACGATTTCGGGAACACCGATCAACCGATTTGAATAATTAAAAAAAAACACTCGATTTGTATTGATAAGGAGACGTGCTGATTAGTTTTTGGCGAAGGCAGGTCTAGCCGTTCCGAAGATACGGGGCAAAAAGTGCCAAAAATGGTAACTCGGTTTTTAAGAGAACGGAGCTTCCGATTTTAATAATTCAAAAAATATTTTACTTGTATTGACAAGATGAAGAATTGATCAAATTTTCATGAAGGCAGGTCCAGCGGTTTCGGAGATCTAGTAAAAAAAAATGCCATCTGACGGTCAAAAATGAACATTAGACATATGCACATCAAATTATCAGATATTTTATAGAGATTTTAACAATGTGTATCAATTTTGTTTACATTCCTATGGGTTCCGTACCAATGTTTATCTGTTAGACGGCGGCGCGGCGCTTACGCGCTTCTATATTTCGTCTCTATGCAGTTCAAGCAGTACGATTGCTTTGAAAAAAGTGCAGAATTTCCAAAATATTTCAAAATGAAGAAAACATTTTTTTTTAAAAAAAATTTTTTGTGTTCAAAAAAAAAAATCGTTTTTCAAAGAAAGTATTTTCTGTCAAATTTATAGTTTCTCAAAAATCTAATTTCCCAGAGTAAATTTTTTTCCAAAATGTTAATATTCTAAAAAAAAAATAATTTTTGGTACTGGAAGTTCCAGCAATTTGCTTTTAAAAAATGTCTGAAAATTTTGTAATTTGTTGAACCGTATAAGTGAACTTCAGAAATTAAAAGTTTTGGTACAGAAATCCG